CTAGGTCTACACTAAATCTGTCTGTCAAGCTCCTGTAGTTTTCCTTACTCCCTGGCTTACAAGTGTTCCCTCTCCCTACTACTCTGCTGGCCTTGTCCTTTCAGTCCCTGGGCTGTATAATTTTCTCTGTCACTGACCACCATTTTACTATTTATACAAAGCTTTGTTATCACCCCATTTTTCTCTTTTTGGGTGGATAGATGATAGATGATAAATGATGGGTGGATGAATGGATGGATGATGGGTGATGAAGGATGGATGGGTAATGCCTATATCAACATGCCTGGCTATGTACAAGATGAAGCATTTACTTTAGAGAGCTCCTTGTATTCAGAGTTCAGGGCTCTGGTCAAATGACTGATAAGAACCAAACTGAGTCTTTATCATTCCTCTGAAACAATCAGACATGATTTTTCAGCTTTATTAACAGATGAATATATATATATACTTATATATTGGCAAATATGTAAAGAATAATAGTGAGAAGGCACTGAATAATAGTATACTCATCTATCTGGATTCACTGAATGTTAACTTTTTATTGGGTATTCTCTGGGGGTGCTTGGACGTTATAAATACTGATAAAGCATAAACTTTAGCTTCCCAAAGGTCATGGTCTAGTTGAGAGTCATGTTTAGGATGCTCATTATTTAACAACTCCAAGACTGTAAATTCATTTCCTTGTTAAAACTTATTTTTAGGGGCTGGAGAGATGGCTCAGCAGTTAAAAGCACTTGATACCCTTCCAGGGGTCCTGGGTTTGATTCCAGCACCTACATCTGGCAGCTTAGAATTGCCTGTAATGCCACCTCCAGGGTATTCATTGCCCTCTTCTGGCCCCTGTGGGCACTGCACCCACATGGTACACATATATGCTCTCATACACACATGCACATAAGATGAATATATGCATATGCATATATATTAAAATATGATCTTAACATCAAAACTAACACACCCAATGCTTTTGAGACTTTCTTTTACTGTCTTACCTCAATCAAAAAATACTTTGTCACCCTAATATTAGTGCATGTTCCCAGTAAGGCTGATGAGATGATGGACATCATCCTTTCAGCTCTGGTATTGTGTCCATCTTGTGGGTTATACTGTACTTCCCTGTTCTCATTTCTATGCTTGTTATTGACAGTTTTACTGTCTAAAGTGGTTCTGAAACACAGAACCCAGTTCTGTACAATAGTCCCTCAACACAAGAGTGCTGTGATGCTTGATACAGAGAAAATATGCACATTAGATCTATTCTGCACAGGCACTGGGGACAGTGCTGTTGGCCATGGATTCAATGCCAGCGAACCAACAACACATATTAAGTGTGATGTCCCTAAATAGAAACTGTGGTTGTTTGCTGATGTGTTAATAAAACTGCAACTAGAGACTTAGAGGCACCTAATCCTGTGTCTACCCTAGAAGCCACGGTCCGGTGTTTGTGTAACAAGCTCAAATGGGGTGACTTGATAGAACATAGTTATTGTGCATAAGGAGACTTGACTATTGAGTCAAATGCTGCCCCCAAAAACAGTTAAGTGAGGGTGACTATGAGGGTTTATGGAAAAAGTCATTACAGAGGGGCTTCTTTTGAATCAAGTCTTTAAACATATATACAGAAGGTCAATGGATGGTCCTGGATGGCAGATTGTTCAAGGGTGGGGGAACCGTGTGTGAAGAAGGGGAATATGAGAGACCTGACAAGCTGAGCAGCTTAAAGAGCAATGGAGTCAGAGAGCATTAGTCATAAACGAAGCAACAGGCAGGAGCTTTTAGCCACTACAAAGTTTCTCTGCATAGTTTAAGCTATAGTTTTTGTATCAAGGAAATATGCAGCATGTCAGCTGTGAAAATTGGCTCAATATTCATAATCAACTCTATTATGCTCCCGCTGAAGCCTGGCCCATGTTTCCGTAGAAACCCCTAGTTACGCAGTGGGACCCTGGCCAGCCATTGGCAAGAAAACTCAGCACCCTGGAGGCCACTATAGTAATGCCAGAGGGGAAAGTACTACATAATTCCCGGTGAGACCAACGATCTGGGACAGCAAAAGCATTGTTAGCTTGTAGCATATAAGACAGATAGGAGAAAGAGCACTATGGGGGACAGGATGCGGAATCCTTCAGTCTCCCACCATGTCCCCAGCTATGAAAGATCCTGCCTACCAGTAAGTCTGAACCTGTCACTCACTTGACATCCAGTATAATTCAGGGCGCACAAGAGGATGCCACTCTAAAAAAGCTTTCCTCAGCCTGGCAGTGTTGGTGCAGGCCTTTGATCCCAATGCTCAGGAGGCAGAGGCAGGCAGAGAGAGCTCTGTGAGAGTGCCGGGACAGTTGGGGCTACACAGTGAGAACCTGTCTATAAATACATAAAAATTAATTAATTAATTAAAATTAAGAAAAATAAAAAAGCTTTTCTTCCAGAGTTCCAAAGCAACTGATTCATGCCCTCAGATCAACCACCTAAAGCAAGCTTCCCAATTCCCATCTTGTAGAAAAACAATCCAAACGACAGAGCAATCTTTTTTAAGTTCACACAGTTTGTCCCAAGGACCCTTTACCTGAGTCTTGAAGGGGGAGCTCTCCTTGGCCCACCCTTCTGGGTCTTCACTCTGTTCAGTTTGCATAACCCACTCTACTGCAGTGTCTACTTTGTTGCTCTGTGTGAACTGTCCCTGTCCTAGTTGCTGCTGTTGAAGACTAGGTCATCTCTCAGTTTAGCAAGACCCCCAGAAGCTTCTCCTCACATGGTAGATTCCTTCTATTCCAGGTCTATATGGGCAATGTCTTCTTTCCAAACTATTTCCTGTTCTATCTTGTCATGGCCTGGGCTGCCAGATTTTCTGTGTCATCAAAATCCTGGGACAAGTTCTCATTCTGTCATTTTAAAGTTTCTAGCATTTGGTTGGTGTGGTCTCTCACCACAAAAAACCCACCACCCAAGGAGGATGCCCTGAGAGTTGATTGGCTTGAGATAGTAAGGTTCATGGAAACAAGCACATGCCGTGCATGACTACCATCGGAAATGCCATCTGAACTTACCTGCCCCTAATGGACAGTTTAATTTCCCTACAGTCTTTATTATGACAACTTCTGAACTTGTCATTAGCATTACTGATAAAGTTGAAAGACAGTTTTATCTGATTATTGTGTCTCAGGAAACACTTAATTATTAAATTCCATACCAATAATTAGAAAACCCTATTATTTCATAATGGGCTCAGTAATGCTACCAGGTTTTCTTCAGACAGAAACTACCACTTCCAAGTGAGATCTCAAATGTCAAGAAATCTCTCCTCACCAGCATAAGCTGTATTACTGGAGATGGAGTGTGTAAACTAAAAAGTCTTCTCAACTTGGAAAATAATTGCTCCTCAGGTACGAGTGACACCTGGGGCTGATTCATTCATGGCCTTCCCTATGCCTGGCCAAAGTTTAAGATAGATGGAATAAATACAGGAAAAAAGAAGCCAGGATAGAGAGGTGTGTGTGTGTGTGTGTGTGTGTGTGAGAGAGAGAGAGAGAGAGAGAGAGACAGAAAGACAGAGAGAGAGACAGAGAGAGGGACAGAGAGAGAGAGAGAGAGAGGGACAGAGAGAGAGAGAGAGAGCGAGAGAGAGAGAGAGAGAGAGAGAGCGAGAGAGAGAGAGAGAGACAGAGACAGAGACAGAGAGACAGAGAGACAGAGAGAGAGAGAGGTGTTAAGGCTAAGGTCATGGCAAGAAAAAGAAAACTCTAATAGAACCGTAACATAAATTGTCTGCAGATGGACTAACAATAGAGGCTAGGGCATGACAGGGGACCTTGAAAGATTTTTGCAACCCAAGGATCACTTCCAAGTGAGAGAGCCTATTATTATAACTAGGCTGTGTCTGCCCAGACCCTGTTGGAATTCTTGCCAAAACTGACCCCAAAACTCCACTAAGCAAGCAGTTCCTGGTAACCCATCAGAGACAAGCATTGTCAGAGCTTCAGGGAGACTTGGGTAAATTCTCCTTGCGGACTCATATTGGCCTCTGGAAGGGGACAGCGCCTGGGGACACTCTCCCTTAAGCTGCTTGCCTTGTGGGCCCCAGGCTTGCCCTCCTTCTGTTCCCACTATCAAAGACGCTGCTATGTCTGTCAGCATGGGGCCTGGCACACTGTGAAGGTTTAAGATGATATAAATGTTATAATGGTCTTCCCTGGTTGACTGAAAAGAAAAGAGCAGTAGAACTGGGGGGGTCTGCAAGGCACACACACACACACACACACACACACACACACACGCACGCACGCACGCACGCACGCACGCACGCACTACCAACAGGGCCTCTGACTCACAGCCTGTTTGGCACCTCTCTGTCCTCTGGGCTTCCGGAATCTCCCTCTCTTTAATGCACACACAAAGCCTCCATGGTAGATGTTTTAAAACAGTGATCCATAGTTTAAGCTACTTTCCCCTCACACAGGAGAATTTCAGACTTACTGTTTAGAAGACCCTTGCATTTCACTGGGAAGATGTTTTAGGGGATCCCATCCAGTAACTGCAGCCCTTAAGGCTGGGTGTGGGTGACTGGGAGAGACAAGGGAGGTGGGAGAGACAAGCAGGGTTCATAATCCAAAGTAACTTGACAGCAGGGGCTGGGGCTTTGGGTGATCTTGCTTGGGCACTAGTGTCAGTGTAGGATGTCTGTCAGTGGATTGCGATGATGTGTCTTTGGGGGGATCTTTTTGTTTGAAGAGGAAAGATGGGTATGCGGGAATTCAGGCCTCCTAGTGAGTAGCCAGGCAAATGGCCCCAGGCCCAGGGATGGCAGGGTAGCTGTGAGCCAGGAGGTACAGTGCTAGCTCCCAAGACTGGCTAGAAGAAGAGAACTCAGCTGCTGGGTGACAGGATTCCCGGGGCAGGGAGGGGCGGGCCATGGGGCGGGGCGTGGGCGGGGCAGGGCAGGGCGGGGCGGGGCTGGAAGCAGACTCTCGGGCTGCGGCTGCCGCGGGAGAAGCTTGCACAGCGGCGGAGCGGGCGGCTGAGCGCGAGCTAGGCGGCGGCGCGGGGACAGCGGCGGCGGCGGCGGCAGCAGCGACTCCGGTGAGCGTGGTGCGGACGCGGCTGGGGCGCGGCAAGGAGCGCAGCTGGGAACCCGCCGGGAAAGGCGTTGCGGAGGCGAGGGGGCCTCTCGGGCGCGGGGTGCGGTAGACCATGGCCGTCCTCGGCCGGCTCATAGTGCCCTGCAGCCCTGGGCGAGGGAGGGGGCCAGCGCGACCCGCTCTTGAACCTTTCTTCTTGGTTCTGGAGCCAAATGTCTGTACGTCCATTGCTCCCTCTCACTGGGACTCTCTTGATTTTCTTCCCTTAACACACGACTCCCTTCACCCCTCAACCACTCCCACCCCTAAGAACAACCTTCAACCCCAGAGCTATTCTTCAGGAGACCCCAATCTTTTCCCTTCGGGTTCCCCTGCGAGGGTCCCTGCTCCCCGTCTTTCTGCAGCCCCAAGGCGCGGGTGAAACCTGCCCCGGCCCATGCACACCTGAACCCTTCGGCTGCTACCTGCCACAGAAGTGCTTAGCCAGCAGGCAAGCTGCTGCACTTAAGACCTCGCCTCGCTGCCTGCATTCACTCCGCACACACCAGAACTCCGAACTGGAGACTGGAGTCCAGCAGGAGCAGAGTTTTCCAAGCTGGAGCTTCGGGAACAATTTGACCCACTTCCCGAGGCATTGGTCTAGGGCCAGCCACGCTTTTTTGGTAGGCACACCTGTCTTCTTTGCCAGCTGAGGGACTGACAAGAACACCTCTTGTCCAAATGTACCAGCCCATCCCCGAGTCTTCCTCCAAGCTGCTAAACTTTCTGGCCTCTGTCCCAAGGTCCAGGGCCTTTGTCATTTAAATCTGTTAAAGTTCTCACCCTGACCCCCGCCCCTGTGAAGATCCCCAGAATTCTGTCAGCCATCATCCAGTACCGAGAGAGCCACAATTCTGAGTTCTGGGTATGGTTTCATCTCCATGGGTGATTCCCTGCCTGCCCTATAGAGAACCCCAGGCAGTCATAAGGCTCCCACAAGCTTAGTGGTTTCCCTATTAGAAACTTTCCCTGCTCTAGACTGGCCCAGGCCATCTGCACAGTGTTGAGTCCCCAGGGCATGGAAATCTGGGCTGGGACTGTGCAGGGCTAGGACCCATGCTGGGCAGCAAGAGGAGGGTGGTGCCTGGCCAGGCCTCCGCTTGGGAAGACCAGCCTGTTTGGGTGGTTCGCAGTGGGACTGCATTTCACATAGCATCTAGAGGAGTTTGAGGGTTTCATGTCAAGAGAGGAGGCAGAAGAGGGGCTGTTTTCCCTGTTGCCTGTTTCTGACTGTCTTGTGTTGCTATGGTGACACTTTGCCTCTTCCTCCCCCTGACTCTTCTGGGAGCTGGTTTTTATTGGTCTGTTGTCCTGTCTTTTATGGCTCTAATTTCTTCTTTCTACTTGCTCTGAAATAAACAGTCATAAACATGGGCACTGGGCCCAGGCTGGGGGCTGGCAGAACTTCACCTCCTGCAAGCCCCAAGCTCCTGCAAGGAGAGAAAACTGAATGGGGGTGGGGGTGGGCTCTAGGGAGAAGACAGTTGCATCCCAGGTGGGGTGCATAGTTGGTAGCACACTGCTGTGAAGGGGTGCCAAACACTTGTGGCAGCTCACTGGGGTGCTTTCATGTTCAGGACAATGTTCTAGATGAGGGGAACCCCCACCCCCACCTCGAAGATGTGGCAACTAGGCTCAGAACAAGTGAGTTGTTTCCCATGGGCTCCGGCTGCTGTGAACACACACAGTCAGTCCTCAGGTTTGCTAAATGAAGGGATGTCATGGAGCTGATGTGTCTCCTGCCTCCTATTCTGTTGTGTCCCCCTGCTCTGTCTCCTAGAGGACTTCCCGCCCATCAGGAGGTCAATTAGAAAGGGTTCCAGTCCCCTGACCCTGGTTGGGCAGCTGCACCCCTGGGGACACAAGCTGCCTTCCATGCCCTTTGTGCATCCTGAACCCTAAGTGCTGGAGACCCAAGTTGAGAGCAGAGTGAAGCCACTTGTGACTTCCTGTTTTTACTCAGCACTGAGAAGAATTCGGCTTGCTGGTGCTCCCAGAGCCTAGATGCAACCGGATGAGTCAAGGACACAGAGCCACCCCTGAGCGAGGAGTTCCCAGAGAGCTAGCCCGGGCCAGAGTATCACCCACTGTCCCCTGCCAGGGACACTCTGCAGTGGAGCTGCCCCTCCTGTCCTGGCTATTTTTCTCTTCTTTGTGTTCTCTCTGTCTCCTCTTTGTATGGCAATGCTCTGGGCTTGTTCTATCAGGGCATCATGAAGAGACAAGGGCATGCATGGCCTGCCTCGCTGTCAGCTGTTGACCCAGAGGAAGTCAGTTCACTCACATGGACCTCATTCAGTCTTTAAAATAGACTTGATAGCATCTTTATCTTTCCTGCTTTGATATGGCTTCTTCTTTTAGGATGGGAGGGATTAGCCTATCAGGTATGTTTTGAATGAATGGTTGGAGGGCTGAAAGACCTTTAATTCCCCTAGTTTATGTTGGCAGATCTCAGATTAATGAGATGCCTTGAGCCACTATTGACAGGTTGAAGGTTTTAGGATTTTAAGTCATAATCTCACAAGGCTGGTGTCATTTTCTCAACTTACTTTGTGGCGTGTTCATGGAATGCACGCCTTCATTTATACACCTTGAATTTTCATACCAAATGCAGTGTGGGCATCGTGGAGACACTACTCCCATTTCTAAAAAGTATGATCTGGTGGAGGAGGTAGACCTTGGGATAGAGTCTTGTGATGTAGTCAGGGGAGTGTCTTGACATAGGGACAGGTGACATGGGAATCTAGAGGTTAACACCTCATGGTAAGTCAATTGATTCAGGTATCCTGGGCTTTGCGGCTGTAGTACAGCTACTGTCCTCTTGGGAAGCCCTCATTTAGCCTTCATAGAGTAGGATTATTATCAAAGAGAGCCCTCCTTTAGGAGTCAGTCCTGCATGCCTCTGGGAGTTTTGACTCTTTCATAGTAGCTTCAGGTTCATACTTCATCTTGGTTAAAACTCCTGTCTGTGGTGCCACAAGGATCCAAGATTAAGTCTTACAGTGCTTGGAAAGAGGGGAGGACGTTGGAATCAGACATGAGTTGACGTTCCGTCGTGGTGTGCTCTGACTCTGGAGTCCTGCCTCTGACTCGGGAGTCCTGCCTGACCTCACCGAGCCTCCATTTCTTGTGGCAGTAAAACTCTAACACTTACATTTGCCTTCTTTGGGATTAAATGGTCTTACATGTTTATAGGACCTGGCATGGTGCCAATCTCACACTAGACTTGCTGCTATTTAGTTATATTGATTAGAAAAAAGAGTTCTCTTCTTACTGGGCCTCTGGGGCCTCCTAGAATCTCAGGAGATGGCTGTCTGGATTCTGGCCCTTGGAGATCTATTCATTATCTAGGAAAGTTAAAAATTGCCCACCCTCAGACTCCTAGCATTGCTGGTTAATCTGCGAGTTATGTGCCACCAGATAAGCCACGTTCTCCACCACCAGGGCAAGTGCCAGTCTCTAACACTTTTTGAAATGTAAGCAAACTTCCAGAGTTGCAGGAATGCATTTTTATCTAGGAGAATCATCTAAAATAGATGTTTGCTTTAAAAAAAATCCTGGACCTTTCTAACTGCCCCCTTGTTTTTTTTTAAAGTGAGGATATATATGTTTACATATTTGCTTGTCTCTATTGGGGGCAGGGAAGTAGAATCATTTTCATAGTGTTGTCAGCTAGTAAGTGGCAGGGCCAGAATTTAAAACTAAGTCCCACTTACTCTTTGTGCCATGGCATACAATTTTGTCATTTCCTTGGCTGGTATGTCAGTGACCCAAAATAAGTGTGTTTGAAGAATCTGGGTGGATTTTAGTAAGGGTGGAACTAGTCTTGCTGTAACTCAGACCCATAGTAAATATTTAGAAAGTTTATTAGGGTTTTGCTCTCAGTGCCTCATTAACAAGGCTTTCCACAGCTGGCTGCTGGTTCCTTTCTACAAGTGATGAATAGAAGAGGAGTTTGACATGTCTTAGTTAAGAAAGAAGGCTTGATGGAATTCAGAGTAGTTTTGTTAGCACAAGAATGGACTGTTGGTTTGTCATTAAAATAACCCAAGTCATTGGGCAGGCCAGGATTTTACCATTGGACATATGAATGGAAAACATCACAAGTGTTTCCCTGGAGTGTGGAATTAGAGACAGACTACACAACAGAGTTCCGATGGTTGATGGCAGCCTTGTGGACAGGGAGTTTTTCAAAGGCAAAGGTGGTGTGGATTTATCCTGTCAATACAGCTCATGACAGGCAAGATGAGAGTGAGAAGTAGTTTGAGAATTGTTCCCTTGCCCTCTCTGGGTAAGGTAGAAGCTGGCTGTCCCAGCTGACCCAAGTGCTGAAGTCAGGGACCACGTTTCCCAGCAGTCTGCTTACCAGGTCCAGCTGAGCCCTGCAGACAGATGCGTTTCTATTTGTAATTATCTCAGGGCCTGAGTCTGGTGTCTGCTTATTTAATGACTTCACTTTCTAATAAAAATTCTGCATGGCATAGATAATTAGATTTTTAAAATGAAACTGGGAAATAGAGTGCCCCAAAGAGTTTAATTGCAGTTTTATGATGGATCAAGCATAAAAATGGGACCATTCATGCCTATAACAAATGCATACCATGTGGGTCCATGCCCTTTGCCTGCACTGGGTTGAGAGCATACAGATCAGTAGGGTATCATCCCTGCCCTCATACAGCCCACACTCCAAAGGAGAAAGCATCTGCCTAAGCATGGCCAGAGTCATAAAACCATTATCTAGAGGAAGAGGAAAACTGATGCATCAGGTGCCATTCTCCTCTTCCATTTAGGTGTCATCTGAGGGCATGTCAGTTCCCTCTTGAATGCTGAAATCTAAGGGCATGTGCCCAGGAATAACAGCTGGCTTCAGCAATTAGCATCCAGCCCAACTTCCGGGATAAGGGAGGTGGAGCAAGCAAGTCCCTGGGCTTCTGTATTGCTGTCATCCATAGAACAGGAAGG